ACGTATGTTTATTTAAAAGACTTTTCTAATATTATTTATCCTTCTAATTTTAATTTTCTAATTTTATTTTATTCCATTTTTCTTTTATTTTATTCCATTTATTCTTTTAGTTGTATTTAATTTCAACGTCGTTGACATTGTTAATATCAATTTTTATGATTTATTAATTGGGACAACCTTGTATAGGAATATTATCAATTCTTTTTTATAGGGCAAAAAAATTGATAACAATAATTGATTGAATTTTTTTTCTTTTTCCTTTTTTCTTATTATGATAATTATTTCATAATGATATTAATTTTAAGTTTATGTATATATATATATATATATATACATACATATATTATATATTGAACAGGGGTTAATAAATAAATAAATAATAATATATATATATATATATATTAATTACTTTATAAATTCATATTTATAAATTAATTTAATTTATTTTAGTTTATAATATATAATATAATTAAATTAGATAGTTAATAAATAAATAAATATGTATATATTTAACAATACTAACAACGATATAACATATACATATATGATAATATAACTGTATATATATCTGCGCGTTAACACATCTATAAATATTAACTATTAATATTGTGATTTAATTGCAAATCTTTATTTGTAAATCGAATCTTGAAATTAATTTTATATAAAAAAAAAATTATCCTTTTACGATGATCCGTCGTGGTCATCTCATTGTCAATAAAAATCGATACTCATATCGACATTCCTCCGATAGCGAATAGTTAAGTACAACTTTCTTTTCTTTTGTTTTTTATTTATTTTCTTTGTTTCTGTCTTTTTTCTTTCTTTCTTTTTTTTCTATTTTCTGACCAGCCCTTTTCAAATTGCTGGATGAATGAAACGACGAGAAGGAATGGTATCTAAAACGAAAATAGAAACGAAAGAACGAGCCTCGGTGATTCTTTCCTTCTGGACCATCCTCTCTTCTTCCTACTTCTCTGTATTTCGACCACCTTCGCCCACTCCCCTTCCATCATCTCTTACCTCTCCCTCCCCCAGGTCTTCTTTTTTTTTCTACTTCTCCCGCGTGGCTTTGTTTCTCTTGGATATTGCAATTGAAGCTTTCTTGTATCCTCGAGATTACCTTGCATCTATTTACATAAAAAAAGAAGTCACACGAAAACGTTCAAACGTTTTCTGACAAGTAGCTCGTAGATTAGAAAAATTTTGCGATATAAGAAATATATAAGTATATATGTTCGATACGTTACATTACGAAACTAGGGAATTAAATTATACTAATAAAAGAAATTACTCGAGGAGGTATATATTTTTTGAAGTTTTATTATTAATATTAAATACTGATTTTATATCGTTAACACTTAAAGATTATCATTAGGAAAATTACCCCCCCCCTCACACACATAGACTTACGAAAACATGCGCGCATGTACGTGCGGATTTTATTTTAATATTAATAAAATTCATAATGAAACTGATAATATTAATTTTGTTTATTTGATCTATCAGTAATGATAATGTTATCACAAAACTTAATCAGTTCTCTTACATACTTCGATATAAACGTAACAAATAGTTAGCTTATATGGTGACATTTGATGATAATCTTTTAAAATTAAATAAGAAAAGTTCAAATTTATTTTTTTCCCCTTTCTGCAATAACAAAATATTAGGTTGAATAGTATATATATATATTATATATATTTTATATATTATATATATTTTATATATATATATTTATAATATATATATATATATATATATATATATATATATATATATATATATATATATATTTCTTTTTTCTGCATATTGATCGATTCAACTCATAATCTTTCATAGATATGTATGTAAACAAATTCTGTGTATATACTTATATATAAAATATATATACGTAAATATTAATAAATATTATATATAAATATAAAAATTATATATATATTATAAATATAAAAATTATATTATATTTATATACACATATATAAATAAAAACTTTGGTATCATTGATGATGTTAATAATAAATATACATAAATATAATATAGAAGAATGATATACACACACATGTCAATGTCGTCAATATCAACATTGTTAATATATGTTTATATATATAAATTTAATTTGTTTATGTACATATCTATAAAAGATTATGAATTGAATCGTTCAATATATAGAAAAATAGAAATAAAAAAAAAGTAGTTCGGTAATTCATTTATCAAAAGATCATCAATATTTCTTATGCAGACTCGATAAGTTAAAGATACTGAGTAAACTCGTAAGTTTCTTCGATCGTATAAATCTTACATAGTACTACGTTTTTATTATGCTTTTCCTTCGGTACAACATTCACGTACGAGTCGTTCGATCGTCCTTTCCCTACCTCATCCATTTTCTCTCTCTTTCTCTCGCTCTCTCTCTCTTTCTCTCTCTCCCACTCTTACCTTATCTCTATCTGTATTTCTTTCTTTTTCTCTTTTTCTTGTTCTTGAATCTATCCTTCCCAGGCTCTCGCAGAAAGTAATTGAATTCGTCTCACCTTGAGCCAACCTAGGATGGAGCTTCGTCGAATTAACGAAATTGAACGTATTTGAGAACAATCGATCGTGAGAGAGCTATTCAAAAAATCTTCTATTTGTTTTATTGTTAAATGATTTTTAGATTTATAAGTACATATGTATATTTACAATAATTATTTGGTGATATTAGTTCTCATGATTTAGTGATTGGTATAATCTCTATAAGAATTTTATTTAAGAATTTTTCAAACGACAATATATATATATATATATATACATCATTTTAAGGTACGTGCATATACTTAGATAAAAATGCATGATAAATATTAATTGAAATAAATTTTAATAATGCGATGACTTCATAATCGAAATATCATATGTCAAATTACAACAATAAATATTTAAAACGATCCGATAAACATTGACCGGCAAACATTCATAAAAATCAATTTTTATAACATATTAACCCAGTAAGACATTCGAAACGTTGCATATTTATATAAAAAATTTTATTATATATATATTTAAAATGATCCAAGAGATATTTGTCGAAATTAATTTTTTTTAGATTGTTATTAAGTCCCTTTCTACGAATGTTCTAAACAACAACAACAACAACAACAACAACAACAACAACAACAACAACAACAACAACAATAACGACAATAAGAGAAATCAACATATACATTAGCAATGTTACGCTTGTCAAATGGGTTTCGACATAGGATTAAGAGGAGGAAAAGAAAGAAAAAGAAAAAGAAAAAAAAGAAAAAAGAAAAACACCTAAAAAAGAATGTATCGCGAGCGTAACTGGAAAGGATTTTCACTTAGCAAGAAACGGCGGCTCGTGAAGGAGGTAAACTGCCGCGCCTAGGTGTACGCACGTCACGGTTTAACGTGGCCGATACGTTCGTGGTAACTCTTCACACTTGGCATACTTGATCGGATTTATGCTCGCTCGGTCTCGCTCCCACGTGCTCGGCCTCGCGCGAGGTTCGCGTTCGCTTGGAGTTTACTCTCCCTCCCACCCTTCCCTCCCACTCACTGTTCGAAGAGCCTAGGAAGAGCGGGATAGATGCACCAATGCATTCCGCGCACTTTGCAAACGCATTTCTCAGGGACGTTATATGCATCCGCCAATGCACTTGCTATTCCACGCGTGCCAACGGCCACACGCGTGCGTTGCATTTTCTTTCGGCTCGAAGAGTCCAGCAGCTTCTTCTTCTTCTTTTTCTTTCTTTTTTTCTTTTCTTTTCTTTTCTTTTTTTTCTTTTTTTCCTTTTTTTCTTTTTTTTTCCTCTTCTTTTCCTCTTCTTTTCGTCTTCTTTTTATTCGTTGTCCTCGTCGTTGCTATTGCTCTTGTCCTGATCCACGTTCTCGTACTACTGCTACGTCAGGGGTTCTTAACCGCTCGAAAACGGTACACAATTGCTAAGATTATATCAATTTTGAAAAGAAACAATGTCACGTGACGACGAGTTAAAAATTATATTTAGGTACTTATTTATTTATAGGCATTCCGTTGTGACATAATTTTTTATAATTAAATGAGAAAACTTTTACTTTATATCGGAAAATTTAGTGATTCTAAATATATAAATTATACGTAGTATAGTGTAGTTGTAGCAGTAGGTATAAGTTTCATATGATATAATTTCTTTTCTTTTTTCTTTTTTTGAAACAGAAACACAAAAATTGGGTTATACACGATTAATATTAATAAGAATCGAACAAAGCCAGAACGACTTTTCTTTGTCGGAATATATCTTATTACCTATACCTTTTCAGAATATGCTTGAATATTGAATCTTTGAAGTATTTCCAAAATCGTCGATAAAAGACTTGAATCGAGTATAATCTCGTACGTCAATAAAAAATCTCAAAAACCCTTAAATCGAGCTTTTCCACTTTGTAAAACGAGCAACGCCTTCAACTTATTTCCCTTTCGAATTCTCAAAAATAAAAAAGAAAGAAAGAGAAAAAGAAAGAGAGAGAACGAGAGATAGAATCGTTGGGAATTAACGAAAGGTTTTCTCGAAACGAAGTTTGCTTTGAAAGAAGTTTCGGTAGATACTCTCAACCCTCTCGAACGTTAATCATCGTTTCTGGGGATAGTGGGAAGGGCGATTTACATTCTACAACGTGTTTTTCAACGGGTGCTAATCAGTTTGAGTGCCTTCTCGTTCGTACCACGTTGATTAATCGAGATTCCAGTGATTCATTAGCTCGACCTCGAAAACCAATCGGAAAAGATCGAGTTCGAATAAGCACAAATTCAATACGATTTCGATAAATCGATTTGTATAAGGTCATGACGAAGAGAAATAAATTCCATTAATAAATTTATGAATGCTTAAGCCATTATTTTTGTACGTAACTTAGATTCAAAGAATCTCTCAAAAGAATAATTGTAAGACATTCTATCTATATCTACATCAAATCGCCAAATATATAAATATTTTGTATATCCTTAATCTTTTTTTTTTCAGAACGAAAAGCTGGAGGTGAAACAGAAATGGGCCTCGCGGCTTTTGGGAAAGTTACGAAAGGATATTACGCAAGAGTACAGAGAAGATTTCGTACTAAGTATCACGGGGAAGAGGCCAGCCATGTGTGTCCTTAGCAATCCTGATCAAAAAGGCAAAATGAGGAGGATCGACTGTTTGAGGCAAGCCGATAAGGTAAAATATAGAAATTATTTTTCTCTCTCTCTCTTTCTTTCTCTCTCTTTCTTTCTCTTTCTCCCTCTCTCTCTCTTTCTCTCACGCACACACTCACACACACACACACATTTTTTGTCTGTTTGTTCTCTGTTTTTCTGTTTCTCTCTATCTTTATCTATTTGTCTCTCTCTTTCATTCTTTCTTTCTCTCTCTCTCTCTCTCTCTCTCTTTATTTGATATACTTTCAAAAGTATAACATTCGAATGAGAAAATCGAAGCTTCGACCGACATATCCCCCCTCCCTCGTTGATGTCACAGGTATGGCGATTGGACCTGGTAATGGTGATTCTCTTCAAAGCAATTCCGTTGGAGTCGACGGACGGGGAACGGCTTGAGAAGACCGCGGAATGCGCTCAGCCGGGCCTCTGCGTCAACCCCTATCACATCAACGTCTCCGTCCGGGAACTCGATCTCTACCTCGCCAATTTTATCACCAGTCACGGTAAGAGATCGTCGCGAATTATTACAAAGTCCAATTAAAACGTTTCTTTGATTCATGTCCATTTATCTATATTTTTGGAATAGGATCGATCATCTTTATATTAATCATTTTAAAATGTCGATAAGATAAACAAAGTTTTTAGAATTTTTCCATCATAGAATTATCAAGTTGTTCTTTTAATGTATCGAGATAATCGAGGTGTTTTATCATATAGAATTTTTGAACATTAGGATAATCAAATTGTCATTCGTGAACTATTCGAATAATCGATGCCTTATCGTATACGATTTTTTTTTGACATTAGAACCATTCAGGCGTCTTTTTTAAACGTTCATATAAACGAGACTTTATCGTGAAAAAAATATCAAGATAGTCAAGTTGTCATCGTGAAGTTTTCAAATTATGAATGTTTTATCATATAAAATCTTAGAACGTCGAGCTGTCCTCATAAAGTATTCAAATAGTCAAAGGTTCACGATAAAATATTGTTGAATGTCAAGGTCATGAAATAAACATTTAAATGAAGCAAATAGAGGAGACAATAAAGGTTAATGTAAATCTACTATAGCGTAAAATGTCCAACGTAAAATGTTCAACATAAAAAAAAGAAAAAAAAAGACGTTAAAATTTCGAATCTTTAAAATAAAATATTTTCATGATTTAGTGAATGAAAACGTAATAATTTTATATATAAAATAAATAGTTGTCGTCTATGTAGAGATATGTAACGTGTTATCAACGAAAGCTCCTAACCCGAGCCTGGTTCGATTTTGGCTTTCCATGCCAACGACCGCGCTACTCGCCGGCTACGTTCATTCACTCGCACATCCCTCCGTTCAAAGTGTCGGCTCTCGCTACTACTCCACTCGGCTTCGATTCAAAGTTTCTTGGAACGTCTTGCCAATTTCACAGGTCCCCCATATGACATGGCACAGCGGCGGCGAGGCCACATGGCGTGCGGTCTCAGTCAGCCTGACAATGAGAGAGAGAGAGAGAGAGAGAGAGAGAGAGAGAGAGAGAGAGAGAGAGAGAAAGAAAGAAAGAAAGAAAGAGAGAAAGAGAGAGAGGCCGACTGAGAAACGTTTTAGCGCACGCGCATGTACGCACGCAAGCAACCAACTAGCCAAGCAACCAACTAGCCAAGCAACCAAGCAACCAAGCAAGCAAGCAAGCAAGCACGCACGTATGCACGCACGCACGAACTAACGCACGTGCCGATCTCTTCCCTTTCCTTCCTTCCTTCCTTCATTCTTCACTTTTATTTATAAGAGAGACCACGCGTCGAATTCGCTTTATCCAGACTCGCCATAACGGGGCTCGTTTCGATTGGAGACATTGTCATTGATCAGCTGAATCGTTTGAATGCGTTCGAGTCTTCTAAAAAATCAAACAAGATAATAACTTTTTTTATTGCTCAATGTTTGCTCTTTCAAACGTTTCAAATCGATTCAATGAATTTACAGTCGACCTATTCAAATATTCTCACTGAGAAGCTGTTATAGAATATTTTTCGAATTAATTTTTACAATTTTCGAGATCTATTCCTTAGTAACAATGTTGTTTTCAGTTTTCGTTGTTCTTTTATAAAGCACGTTGGTATATGATTTTAATGAAACTAATGTCGTTCGAATATCTAACAGATCTTAAAAATTGAAATTCAAAAGGGACACGGAAAAAAAGAAGAGAGAGAGAGAGAGAGAGAGAGAGAGAGAGAAAGAAAGAAAGAGAAAGAGAGAGAGAGAGAGAGAAAAAGAAAGAAAGAGAAAGAGAGAGAGAGAGAGAAAGAAAGAGAAAGAGAGAGAGAGAGAGAGAGAAAGAAAGAGAAAGAGAGAGAGAGAGAAAGAGAGATATATATAAAGAAAGAAAGACAGAGGAAGAGGAAGAGAGTGTACGAAATTCGAAGATTCTTCAAACGGGTGCCAGAAGATCACCCAGGGTCGACCGACGAACCTAAACTTTCCCTCTCGACGTTCTCTCGCATTCATTGAACTCATCGGCGCACTTGGAAAGGCACGATTTCCTACGACTCCTGGCAGAGTAGCTACTCGAATTCTGACAAGCGAACGAACGTGCTAGTAGTAAGTGATAGTAACGTAGTACATAGACGCCAAACAAGCAACCAACAAGCCAGCTAGTAGCTACTGACCGACAGAAAGAGAATTGACTTACTCTCCTCTTCCTACGGCTTGGCAACGATGTATCTAATGTTTACAGCCGTCCGACGAAAAAATTGGCGAAGCCCATCGACACCTATGAGAAAAAGTATCTACGAAAGAAAAAAAAAGAAAAAAAAATATTTTAACAATAGGATAATACGACCAAAACGAAAGAAGATGAGTCTTTAATATCGTAGAATCACATCGAAAATAGAAAAACATTTGAATATTCTTGGAACGATTAATTTTGGATAATTAATATTAGGTAATAGGCGATCAGTAAATCAAATACAGTGTTCATATCCATTCAACTAACGAGTAATTATAGAAAGACCGCGCGTGATAATAGTTAGCAACTTCCTATAATAATAGCGTCTATTAGGTCAGTTCAGACTAAACGAAATGAATGTCTACTTTTAGCTTACTTCGTCAGCCATTTTTATATCTCTTTTCTTGTTCTCTTTTTCCCTCCCTGTCTCTTTCTCTTTTGTTAGCGTTACGTAGAAACGATCACACGGAAGGGTCAGAAGTAGTAAAGTCTTCGACTAGCCGGACCCGTCTTCTTGGCAGCAACTAAGTTTATATTATTGTGCCACCGTGTATATTTACAGAGGGTCAGGAATTTTTATGATGTTGATCGTACAGCAGACTCTCTATGACTGTGGGCCGTTCATCACCGAGGACGGCTGTTCACCGGAAACCCCGAGGAATTCCGAAATTCTAAAATCGTTTGATATTCTTCGATTGTTATTCCATCGTATTATCTTCTCGATATTATTTACTGATGAAAAGTTTTATCTATATTACGTATCTATATACCCATATATCGATTGCAGTTTAAAACGAAAAAAGAAAAATGAATCTGATCGATTTCATCCTTTATCGAATGATAAAAGTTAAAACCCTAACGGCTGGCCAAGAAAAAGGTGCTCAAAAAACTCGTACCGTTTAGCTACCTAGCTAGAGTTAGCTAAGTTATTACAGTCGCCGAGGTGCTTTTCCCATTTTGTCTTTCGAAAATGGCCAAGTGAAACAACTCGTCGAGAACAAAGATGGCGATGGTGGCGGCGATAGTGGTGTTGGTGGTGTTGTTGGTGGTGGTGGTGGTGATGTTGCTATTGGTGTTAGTGTTGGTAATGCTATCGCGGAACTGCAATACGTCCGAGAAACGTGTGCTCAGGGCACCTGTCCTCTCTCACACTTTCATAAGAGACGATGATACTTACGCAACCGAGGCGATATTTAGCTCTTAGGGCAAATACGCAGCAGCTTTTCTCTATCCCTCTCTCTCTCTCTCTCTCTATCTCTATCTTTATCTATCTATCTCTCTTTATCTCTATCTCTATCTCTAACTCTTTCTATCTCTTTTTGCACTTCAACCATCTCGCTGTTTTAGACCGACAACTTCAAGTTGAGTTACACTTTCCACGCACGAATATGTCACACATGTTAGATGAAAAAGATTTTCTGCAAAATTGTTTTCTCTATTTTCAATCTTATATATATATATATATATATATATATATATATATATATAGAATATATATATATATATATATATAGAATATATGTATATTGCCGTTCTTTCAGGTTAAATGAATTCATCGATTTTGATCATGACTCGAGAATGAATAAAAAGACAAGTTGGTTTCACGTGCGTCTCGATACGCTCGGTATCGTTCGAAGTATCTCTCTTTGCCAAGTTCGACGTTCGAATCTACTCGGCTAGTCGAGTATTGAGTTTCCCTCGAATTTACGACGCGTGCCAGACGTTTCGTCGACGAACGATGCGAGTACTTTTTTATCCCTTTTTTCCTTTCATTTTCTTTCTTTTTCTTTTTCCTTCATAAGCCGCTACAACATACATATTGTGTGTATATATAAAAATTGTATGTATCTATTTCAATCTCGGATTATATCTGATTAAATTAACGATTATGTTTGCACTTGCACAAAATTTTAGAGATTTATCGATATATATATAAGATAGACAAAAATGAGATTGATTTAAAGCTCGTCTAGTTTCATTGTTGAATTTCTTCGTAGATTCATTATGAATAATTAACGAATCATTTCTTGACGAATCATCTTGTTTATTGCTTCGAGTGGATCCTTTAAATCTAAATTAATTGATATAATAACGAGAATGTAATGACTCAATGTTCATTTGCCAAATTGATTAACTTCGCTAAACGAAAAGTAGATAAAATTAATAAATTATATCTAAGAATTATATATATATATATATATATATATATATATTTATATATATATATATATTTATATATATATATATATATATATATATATTTATATATATATATATATATCATTTATTACTCGATGTCCATATAAATTCTCGTCTTTTAATGCCGTTAAGCCTAATTATTAAGAAAATTTATTTTAAATATAAAATAGTTAAGGATCGGCCAAAGATTTGTGTTTGAATAAAATTAAAAAAAAAATCCGGAAGTCGAGTTAATCGTTTTGATTTGCAAACAATCTATAAATAATAATGCTCGACATTAT